CTTAACAACAACCACAACAGTGGTTAATGCAAGGATCTGGAGTCAGAAAACCAAAAAGGAAGAACACACTCAGCATTTCTCAAGCTGGGGGAACTAAGAAAAAATTCAAGCCTCAACTTTCATATTTGAAGGATTCTCTGGACAAATTATTGAATGATGCAGAAAGCATCAAAAGTAGATGGCAGGAATACACAGAGTCACTGTACCAAAAGGAAATGGTTGATGTTCAACTGTTTCAAGAGGTAGCTTATGATCAAGAGCCAATGATACTGAAGGAAGAACTTTAAGGTACATTGAAGGAATTGACAAAAAAAAAAATTAAAAAAAAAAAACAAGTCACCAGGAACTGATGGAATAAAAATTGAAATATTTCAAGAAAGTGAGGTGGCACTGGAGGCACTCACTCATCTATGCCAAGAAATTTGGAATACAACTACCTGGCCAACAGATTGGAGGAGTTCAGTTGTGTGCTCATTCCAAAGAGAGGTGACTCAATGGAATGTGGAAATCATCTGATAATATCTTTGATCTCTCATGAAAGTAAAGTTTTACTTAAGGTAGTAGAGAAATGACTGCAACCATACATTAACAGAGAACTTCCAGAAGTTCAAATAGGATTCAGAAGAGGACATAGAATGAGGGATATCATTGCTGATGTCCGATGGATCTTGGCTGAAAACAGAGAATACCAGAAAGATGTTTACCTGTGCTTTATTGACTACACAAAGGCTTTTGATTGTGTGGATCATGGCAAGCTATAGACAATATTGTGAAGTATGAATTCCTGAACACTTAGTTGGGTTCATGAGGAATCTGTATGTGGACCAAGAGGCAGTTGTTCAAACAGAACATGGGAACACTGAATGGTTTAAAATTAAGAAAGGTGTGTGACAGGGTTGTATTCTTTCACCATACTTCTTCATACTTATGCAAAGCAAATAATCCAAGAAACTGGGTTATATGAAGCAAAATGTGGCATTAAAATTAGAGGAAGACTCATTAACAACCTGTGATATGCAGATGATACAACCTTGCTTGCTGAAAGTGAAGAGGACTTAAAACATTTACTGATGAAGATCAAAGAGCACAGCCTTTATTATGGATTGCAGCTCAATGTAAAGAAAACAAAAATCCTCACTACTGGACCAACAAAGAACATTTTTTTCAATGGAGAAAACATTGAAGTTGTCAAGGACTTCATTCTTCTTGGATCAAATATCAACACTCATGGAAGCAACAGTCAAGAAATCAAACAACTTATTGCATCAGGCAAATCTGTTGCACAAGACCTTTTTAAAGTATTGAAGAGTAAAGACGTCAGCTTGAGGACTAAGGAGCACCTACCCCAAGCCATAATATTTTCAATAACTCATACGCATGTGAAAGATGGACTGTGAAGACTATAGAAGAGTTGATGCTTTGAGTTATGGTGTTGAGGAGAATATTGAATGTTCCATAGGCTTCCAAAAGAATCAACAGATCTGTGTTGGAAGCAGTGCAGCCATAGTGGCTCCTTGGAGGCCAGAATGACCAAATTCTTTTCTATTTCAGACATATTGTCAGGAGGGACCATTCACTGGGGAAGTATATCATATTTGGTAAGATGGAGAGTCCGATAAAAAGAGGAAGTTCCCCCAGGAAGATGGATTTGCAAAATGGCAGCATCAATGGGCTCAAGCGTGACAACAGTTGTGAGTTTGGCCCATGACCGGGCAATGTTTTGTTCTGTTATTCAGTTGGTTGCTATTAGTCAGTCTGACTCGATGGCACGTAACAACAACAACCAGCTGCCACTTAGTCAATTCCTGCTCACTTAGTCAAGTCCTGCCCAGTATCTGTTTACTGGGATTCTGAAGCTGTAATTTTTACAGGCATAGACACCTGCATGTTAATTTTATGGAATGGTTCGGGCATTTGAACTACAATCCTTGCAGTTAGTGCTCTGCTTAGTCTATAAGACCACCTATAAACCATTTCTATAGCAGAACTTGTTCCCTTCCAAATTGTTGTTGTTAAGTGCTGTCAACACTGTTTTGACCTTTTCTTAATTTTTTGTGATCTTTATACACATGGAAACTATTCTATAATTATCTCTCCTAAGTCCCCACTGACAGGGATGACTTTTCTTTTATTCATGGTCTGCAATCAAATAATCAGAATGAATGACATGGCAGATATGTAGTGTGGAGCCTCTGTGGAGTTGTATGTAGTCAGAAGTATTTTCATAAAATCCCATCTATCAGCAAACGATGTCCAGTTATACTTTATTCCTCTGGATAATGGAGTGCACTCCTAGAGTAATCCTTGTGGAATTATGGATTATCTTGCATGCTTTCTTGTCATTTTTGGTTAGGTGCCACCATGTCGGTTATGACTCAGAGCAACCCAATACAGAGTTTCTGAAGACTGACTGGTCAGTTTGAGCCACTGACCTTTTGATTCAAACCTGCCTTGTGGTCCAGTGCATTGTTCTACAATACCACACCAGGACTTCCAAAAGGGAGGTGCTCTTCTCCTGGGAAGGAGTCCAACGGGAAAAGCGATATACACAGAGCTGCAAGTTGTCTCCCAAGGGTCAAAACTGGCACAAGTTTGTAGTGTTTTTCTCTCATACCTCCAGAGAAATAAATTTCTGAGGGAGTGCAAGATCAAAGAATACCTCATTAATGAGACACATGGGAATTCATCCACTAAACTCGTAGACTTGTAAATACTTCCCCTACACTGGCTCAAATTTATTTGACTATTTCTAGGTGATGATAATACACAGTTGTGTCTTCAAGAGGCCTCATGAACGGTTGCATCTCCCTGCCCTTCCTGGAGGCACAGCTTCCAACATTGTTACAAGGAAGAAACAGAGTTGGTGAACTCAGACTCTTCCCTGAGAAGATCTGGGTGAGCTACAGCAACATTACAAGTGCTGACCAATGGGGTATGAATGAGGGCCCTCTTTTATTGGTTTTAACTACAGGGCTAACAACAGGAATACCAAATAAAAGCAATTTTAATGACATAAACTCCTGCTGAATTAAAGTCCCTAAATCTGGAGAGTATTTCTGGACATTACATGTCTTATGTCCCTAATCTGTCTTCCCTGATTTGGTTCTTATTCATAAGGCCTCTCTATCTCTGCAATATATCTCTTTGTTTCATCACATCTCCTTTCCTCGCCGTTGTTGAAAGTATCTTTTTAACCTTATTCAACTTTTTTTTTTTTCAGTAAGTCACGAAACATTTATTTAGCACTAATTTATATTTTGGAAATTAATATAATTTAGTGCTAAATAAAATATTGGCAGTAATTGTTCCTTCTCTCAATGATTTTATAGTCTACATAGGTAACAAACATGTAAATAAACAAATGTTGCATCTTATGATGGCCCTACAATCCTAGTGAAGTGTATCATAGTTTCTGTCCTCCTGGAAACCTCAATGAAGACTTCACAGAAAAGCTTATGATTGTGCTCAGCTTTGAGGGAGGAAACAGCAACAAAGTGAATATTTGAATTAAATTGGAAGGTGTGCTTAGAAAATTACACATGGTAGTAAATATCTGATTAACAATGAAGTCAGGGCAGGTAAAGTGAAACATAAGCATGGACAGGCAACAACGTGCCTTTCTATCTGGGTTGAGGATTAATTCTGAAATTAGTGGGGCGTCACTGCAGATTTTGTGACAGAGGACATCTACTGTCAGCCTCACCATGTTGAAAGATTGTCCTTTTCAATTGGAGTAAGATTACTGCTGTTGTCAAAACCATAGAAAAGGGAGGGATGAAAAGAACACAGTAGAAGTGGGGGATGCATCTATGAAGGGTTGAATCACAGTGTGTTAAAAAATCAACTGAGTAATAATAGGAGGCACGTTTAACTTGTCTTATGCTTGATTTAAAAGGAAAAGTGTCTCTTTCACCAGTGAGCATGACTCTAGCTGTAAATTTTGGTAATATTGGTCATAAAGACAATGAAGTTCCATGTATTTCTAGTTTTTGGAGAATTGTTTTAAACATAAGTAAAGATTTTTAATTTTCTCAAATCCTTATTGTACTTTAATTTGTATGATTGAATGATGAATTTTTTTTTCTTTAGTGAGTTGATGCATTGATTTTCAATTTTTGAACCAGTCTTTCAGTTCTGGAATAAATCCTAATTGGTTCTACTATAAAATTATTTTCTTAATTGTTGGATTCCACATGCTAATACTTTGGTAAGGATTTTTTCATTTATGTTCATGAGTGCTATTGTTCTGTAGTTTTCATTTGTTGTTGTTGTTGTTGTTGCTAAGTGCCGTCGAGTCGGTTCCGACCCATAGCGACCCTGTACATCTTTACGGGAGCAGAACGCCTCATCTTTCTCCCTCGGAGTGGCTGGTAGTTTCGAACTTCTGGCCTTAAGGTTCGCAGCCCGATTCGTAACCACTACGCTAATATCTATATTTGGCTTTGATATTTGGGTTTTGCTGATTTCACAGAGTGAGTTGGAAAATATTCCCTCTGGTCTTATTTTTTAGAAGAGATTGTGGAAAACTGGTATCTTTTTTTTTTTTTCCTCTCTCTCTCTTAAAACATTGGTAGAATCCCCTAGCATTTCACTAATATAGTAAATTATTTCTTTCTTTTACCAAAATGCCTCCCAAACTCTTTGGATTTTTTTAAGGAAAAATATTGAAATTCTTTTTGAGTCCCTGCCATTTTTCTGTGTGTTTCAGTTATTAACTGAGTTTTGAAAGTTACCATTATAATATGATTATAGAAACCCTTGTGAGTCATAAGATTGAAGATATTTATCTAGTTGGGTAATTCCACAATTTTACTTTTACTAGGTACTGTAGGCTTTAGAACTTTGGCATTCTAGGTACTGTAGGATTTAGATTTAAAGGACCCCAACACCTAAGGTAGCTGCTGCCCCATCACTTCTGCTCTAAATCTTTAAACAGCTCTTAATAATCTCCTTTCCTCCTTTTTATGTGTACTTCACTCTCTTTTTCCCCCCACTCTCAGTAGACTGGCTTTATCTCCTCTATCACATGGCAAGAAATCCAACGCAAAAGCTCCCTGCCACAGAGCTGACTGTCTTTGAGATTCCCACAGCCATAACTAACCCATTGTAAGCCCTCAGTTCTTAGAGAGGAGTAAAACAGTCTCTTATCTATAGAGTTCCCTATGCTGTTGCATAGCTTCAGTCTTAAAATGTGGCTGAGTGTTTAGATGGTGGGAGAAGTCATCAATGACTGGGACACAGGTTGATTAATATCTCATTCTGTCTTCTACAATAAAATAATGCAAATAAACCAAATGGAAGTTGAGGAGAGAACGTATCCTTTAGGGGAGGGTTAATTATGTATCATTTATATAGAGATAGATATTTTATTGGTATATGTAAATAACATAACAAATGTAACATAGTATAAGGTTGTTGTTGCTGTTGTTAGATTCCCTTAATGAAGTCCAATTCATGACAAACCCACATGTGCAGAGAAAAACTGCTCTATGGGATTTTAAAAGCTATAACCTTTGGGAAGCAGATCACCAGTCCTGCCTTCAGAGAGTTCGCTGAGTTGGTTCCCACTACCAGCTTCTCAGCTAATATTTGGATGTGCGATCATTTGCACTAGACAAGAACTTAATAGGATATAATGTGATGTGAAGGGATTTGCTAATATAAATCATGTTGCTGTGTGCTGTAAAGAGGGATCTGACTCATAGCAAAACTGTATAGAGTTTCCAAGGAACCACTAGTGGGTTTGAACCACTGACCTTGTGGTTAGCAATCCAGTGTTTATTCTACAGTGCCATACCAGGATTCCAAATAATATATATAAATAATAGTAAATTAATTGTAGGATGCCATGTCCTGGAGTCTTCTACAGCATCAGAGTATTTTGGTCTCCTGTTTCCCCTCTACTCTTAACTACAATTTCAAACCAGCTTCCCTTTTGTACTTTACTTACACCATCCTCCTTGTTGTTGTTGTTAAGGGCCATCGAGTCAATTCTGACCCATAGCAACCCTGTATAGGGTTTCCAAGGAGCAGCTGGTGAGCTTGAACCGCTGGCCTTGCACTTCAAAAGGGTTTGCAGTCTGGTGCATTAACCCACAGTGTCACACCAGGACTCCTAGATGTTATATGGAATATTTCTATCTCAGGGACTTTGTACTGTCTATATCTCTACCTAAAATGCTTTTCTCACTGTTTTCTGCAAAGCTAGTCTTAAGATTTTCTGCTGACTGGCTCCTAATCAAAATTGGTTATACAAAGAAGCATTGCTTTTACACTCTATAACTTACCTGCATTATTTTATTTCATAATCACTATGAATCACTTACTGATTTATTTGTAGTCTATTTACCCCCACCTTCAAAACACACATGTTCTAAGGGCAATAATTTTTAAAAAAGAACATTTTATCTGCTACTCTTAGTACTTTAAGAACACACTTATTGCTGTTGTTGGTAGGAGCCATCAAATTGACTCTGATTCAGTGATTCTATGCAAAACAGAATGAAACATGACACTCCAGTGACACCCTCACAATGTTATTAAGTTTGAGCACAATTATTTCAGCCACTGAGTCAATTCAACTAATTTGGGATCTTCTTCTTCTTTGATGACCCTCTGTTTTACCAGGAATGTCCTTTTCCAGGGACCAGTCCCTCCTATAAGGAGCTCTGCTAGTGTAGTGGTTATGAATCAGGCTGCGAACCACAAGGTTGACAGTTTGAAACTACCAGCTATTCTGTGGGAGAAAGATGAGGCTTTCTGCTCCTGTAAAGATGCAAGGTCGCTATGAGTTGGAATCGACTCCACAGCACATCACCACCACCACTACCAGTCAGTCCTATAATATGTCCAAAGTCTCTGAGATAAAGTCCACTATCCTCTCTTCTAAAGGGCATTCTGGTTTACTACATTCAAAACAGATTTGTTTTTTTTCTTTTGGTCGTCAGTGGCACTTTCTTGAGAAACACCAGGATTCAAATGCACCAACTTTTCTTTGGTCTTCTTTATTCATATTCAGCATTCACATGCATATAAGCTATTGATAATACCATGGCTACTTCTAAAAGTGAAATCTTTGTTCTTTAACACTTTAAAAAGATCTTATACAGATTTGCTCAGTGCGCATATGCATTTGGTTTTTTTTTAAGGGAAAAGCACTTAACATTTAATTAACCTCCATGTAGCTTCAAGAAACCAGGACACAGGCCCCCAAAAACCTTTAATCTTTTCTTCAGCTGTTCTGATCAAGAATCTGGTCTTCAGGATAACAGGTTGTTTGGGGAGATTTCCCTTCCCTCAGAACTTTGTAGTATCCCAATTGCACCACATCAATGATGGGAGCAATCCCAGTCTTATTTTTAGCAATGTTTACCTTTGTCTGCTCACTGATGAAGGTCCACAATGTATCAAGGTTGACAGCTGGGCAGAAACTCTGGTTTGTATTCAAGTAATAATGTCTCATACCCACCTTCGTAAAGTAACCTGGATGATATTTGTCAAAGTTGATCCTATGGTGATGCCAGCTGCCAACATTACCCAGGCCTCCAGGGTGCTTCCAGTGTTTGCAGAGAGATGTGGCCATAACCATGGCTCACATGGCCTCTAAGTTTCCATGTCTTGTGCAGTCTGAATGTAAATCAGCTGCCAACATGGAAAAGAGCCGTTTGATTTTTTTTATTATTATTATTTAAGTATTTACTGTGAACTGCAAGAAAGCTTACTGAGCAGCTCATCTGTTTTACCTTCAACAAATCATGCGCACGTCATCCATTTCATTGATTTTCAGCTTTTCAGTGTAATATTACTGATCCCAGTTCTTCGAGTAGTTCTTATTTTCATTTTCACTTAATTCCTGTATCTGTTTAACTTCTCCTTGGACATATGCTGCCCTTTTATTTCAAATCAGTGACCATTCTAGTCACTAGTGTGTTTGCCTCACTAGTATTATTGTTCCCCCAATAGACCTATTTATTAATTGACTGAAAATTTAGCCACCAAGATGAGATCAGTTTCAGAACTAAATGTGATCAATGGTTATAGTCTTGGGGTTCTATCAATTTCTATGCAACAACTATTCTTGGTCTTTTTTTATAATTTTGAATTTTATTTCACATTTTATGTACTCTAATGATCCCAATGCTACTGCCACTGTGCCAATCTATCTCATTGATGGTCTTCCTATTTTTCTCTGATCCTAGCGTAGTGGTTATGAATCAGGCTGCGAACCTTAAGGTCAGCGGTTTGAAACTACCAGCTGCTCCGCGGGAGAAAGATGAGGCTTTCTACTCCCGTAAAGATTTACACCCTTGGAAACCCTGTACAGGGTCTCTATGGGTCGGAACCGACTCAACGGCACTTAACAACAACAACAATGTTAACCAAAATGATATCCTTCTTCAGGGACTGGTTTCTCCTGACATGTCTGAAATATGAGAGATAAAGTCTTACCATCTAGCTTTCAGGGTGCACTCTGGCTGTACTTATTCCAATAAAGATCTGTTTGTTTTTTGGCAGCCCATGATACTTTCAATATTCTCCTCCAACAACTAACTCAGATGCATCAGTTCTTATGCAGTCTTCATTATTCACTGTCCAACTTTCACATGCATATGAGGTTATTGAAAATATCAGGGCTTGGATGTACTTTAGTCCTCAAGCTGACATCTTTGCTCTTCAACACTTTAATGAGGTCTTGTGCAGCATATTTGCCTCATGCGATACGTAATTTGATTAGTGTTGATAGTTGATCCAAGAAAAATTAAGTCTTTGAAAACTTCAATCTTTTCTCCATTGATAAGAATGTGATTTATTGGTCCAGTGGTGAGGATTTTTGTTTTCTTTACATTGAGATGCAATCAATACCAAGGGCTGTGATCTTTGATCTTCACAGTAAGTATTTTAAGTCCTCTTCACTTTCAGCAGGCAAGGTTGTATCATCTGCATATTGCAGGTTGTTAATGAGTCTTCCTCCAATTCTGATGCCATGTTTTTCTTCATATATCCCAGCTTCTTGGATTATTTGCTCAGCATATAACCTGAATGAATATGGTGAAAGAATACAACCTGTCACACCTTTCTGAATTTTAAACCATTCAATGTTCCCATGTTCTGTTAGAACATGGTCTATGTACAGGTTCTGCATGAACACAATTAAGTATTCCAGAATACTCACTTTGCAATGTTGTCCATAGCTTGTCATGATCCACACAATCAAAAGCCTTTGCATAGGCAAGAAAGCACAGATAAACACTGTTCTTATATTCTCTGCTTTCAGCCAAGATTCATTGGACATCAGCAATGATATCCCTAATTCCACAGCTTCTTCTGAATCCAGCTTGAACCTCTGGAAGTTCCCTGTTAATGTATGCTTGCAGCCTTTTCTGTATTATCATTAGTAAACCTTTATATGCATGGATGTCAAAGATATTGCCCTATGATATCTGCATTCCATTGGGTCACTTCTCTTTGGAATGGGCACAAATACGGATCTCTTCCAGTTAGTTGGCCAGGTAGTTGTCCTCCACATTTCTTGGCAAAGATGAGCGTGTGCCTCCACTGCCTCCTCATTTTCTTGAATGATTTCAATCTGTAGTCCATCAATTCCTAGTGCCTTGATCTTTGCCAATTCCTTCAATGCAACTTGGACTTCTTCCATCAGTATTGGCTCTTTCTTGATCATATCCTACCTCTTGAAATTATTGAACATTGATAATTTCCTTTTAGTATAGTGACTCTGTGTATTTCTTCCATCTACTTTTTATGCTTTCTTCATCATTCAATAATTTACCCAGAAAATCCTTCAATAATGAAAGTCGAGGCTTGATTTTTTCCTTCAGTTCCCTCAGCTTGAGAAATGCTGAGCAAGTTCTAACCTTTTGGTTTTCTAACTCCAGATCTTTGTACATTTCCTTGTAATATTTAACCTTGTCTTCTTGTGCTGACCTTTGAAATTTTCTGTTTAGCTCTTGTACTTCCTCATTTATTGTTTTTGCTTTAGCATCCCTATGCTGGAGAGCAAGTTCTGAGTCTCTTCTGACATCCATTTTGATCTTTTCATTCTTTCAGTACAACAAACTGACAGATGAGTGGTGCTCTAGGTGTTAGATAGGAATTAATATTATTTAATCAATTTAAAATATAAACAGCCCTGGTTTGGTATTATAGGGTAAGTACAGTATGGTTAACTGCAAGGTTCAAATCACCAGTTACAGTTGAAAAATTTATACAGGTCCACGATGAGTCAAAATCAAATCAGTGTCACACATCAACAACAACAACAAAATGTAAACGACAGCACATCTGTAAAATGTCTGCCTATTGATGATGGCTAAATTTGCATTGTTCTTTTCTATTTTCCAGCCATCATTTCATCGGCTATATGGTACCAGGAAACAAAACACATATTTCAGACTTCATACTTTTGGGGCTCTCAGAAGAGGCAGGGATGCAGCCCCTCCTCTTTGTATTGTTCCTGTCCATGTACCTGGTCACCTTCACTGGGAACCTGCTCATCATCCTGACCATCATCACGGACTCCCACCTCCACACACCCATGTACTTCTTCCTCTCTAACCTCTCGTTTGCAGACATTTGTTTCACCTCCACCACTGTCCCAAAGATGCTGCTGAACATTCAGATGCAGAACAAACTTATTACCTATGAAGAGTGCATCACTCAGATGTATTTTTTCATGGTTTTTGGAGGATTAGACAATTTCCTCTTGACAGTAATGGCCTATGACCGCTTTGTGGCCATCTGTCACCCGCTGCACTATAGGATCATCATGAATCCCAGGTTCTGTGGCCTCATGCTTCTGACATCCTGGTTATTGAGTGTTCTAGACTCTCTAATACATGGCTTAATGATTTTACAACTGTCTTTTTGCACAAAATTGGAAATCACCCACTTTTTCTGTGAACTTAATCAGGTAGTAAAACTTGCTTGTTCTGATACCTTCCTCAATGACTTAGTGATGTATTTTGCAACTGGACTTCTGGGTATTATCCCACTCACTGGGATATTTTTGTCTTACACTAAAATTGTGTCTTCTATTTTGAGAATTTCATCAGCTGGGGGCAAGTATAAAGTTTTTTCCACTTGTGGGTCTCACCTCTCAGTCATTTGCTTATTCTATGGTACAGGTCTTGGAGTTTATCTTAGTTCTGCTGCTACCCCAAACTCCAGGGCCACTGCAATAGCCTCAGTGATGTATACTGTGGTCACTCCCATGCTGAACCCCTTTATCTACAGTCTTAGAAATAAGGACATAAAGCAGGGCCTACGAAAACTGTTCAGTTTAGGAATAATCTTTATATAACAGATTTTTCTCAAGAGTTGAGAGGTACTCATGACCAACAGAACTCAAACAAATGAAGCTCCAAATCATACTTTCATCAGCTCATAACTCTGCATTATTTCCATATCCAGTCTCCCTTATTTGTATATGGTATATACAATTGTTGTGTGTTTCTTTCAAAAATTTGTTTTTAAACCAGAATCTTGCTTTTAGCAGGCAATCCCTTCATGTTGAGTGCAGATGACTCAGTATGAAATGGTGCAGGCTGTGGTGCTAATATATAATTACCCTATTGATACAGCATCATTATTGTCCTCAACCCCAAAAAGTAGAGATTTCAATTTCTAGATCCTATTTTGTAAGTTGTTTTTGTGACCAGATCTCGCATGTATTATTCAACGTCTCTAGGTCATTTTCTTTAAACAGAAGTGTTAGTAAGTATTTTGAGAAGGAGCTTTGTAAATATGTATTTATTAAATTGTGAAAAGAACAGGTCAGTAAGCTTTTCAAATATTGGGAATGACTCCCAGAACGGCAGTGAAAACTAGGACAGCTAAGAACGTTGATTCCTCTTCTATCATCACAAACATGGTGGAATCAAGAAGATGCCACTGACACTATTGACTACATGGACATGACACCTGTTCTGAAATCCAGATACTAACAGATTTTTTATAACTGCTAGTTCAAAACTCATGGTGTAAGCTAGATCTGCTCTTGTCTGAAAAAGGATAGGCACATCACTTCTTGATACCCATAACACTACTAACCTGGAAATTTGCCTTCGTTTATCCTAAGCATCCTGATGTTCTCCAACTATTCTTAGCTATATATCTGATTAAAACAAAGCCCCTGACTCAATTTCCCCCTCTGATTCTCTTTTGTACATCTTACCAATATCCCAGTAATCACATGAACTCTTGTTTTTAGTGTTCCTAGGAAATGTAGCTTCCTAATTACCATTCTTTGCAGTTCAAGAAAATAAACCAAAAGGAAACATAAATAGATGCTGAGTTCTAGCCCACTCTATCTCTTCACTGATAAAATGAAGACACAATCCAAAGCCCAACATTGGACAGAGTACAACTCTGCTTAAAATTGCACAGAGTACAACTACCCCATAGGATTTCCAAGGCTGCAAATCTTTTATAGATGCACAATAGCACATTTTTCTCCCATGGATTGGCTAGTAGAGTCCAACTGCTATCCTTGTCATTAGTCGTCTAGTGATTTGCCTGATGATCCACCCAGCAGATGCCAAACATCCTTATACTTTGAGTGTGTTTTAGGAAATAATGATTGTATCTTTTTCAAAGTTTCTTAAGATTTTTTTTTCCTACTTTCATTCTTAAATACAAAATTTGCTCATAATTTAGTTAGAAAGGATGATGTATAGAGCATGAAGTAACTGAATGATAGAGATTGTTGTAACGCTACCATAGATTCTTAGACCTTTACTATTATTTTTGTACTATATCATATGTGGCAAGCTATGTACTTATGAAAGAAAACTAGCCATTTTAACCATTTTATGAATGAAATTAGTAGCATTATTTATATATGTAACGTAGTATAATATCTATATCCAAAACTTTTTCATCACTACAGACACAGACTCTGTAACTATTAACCTTTTCCAAATGTCATGCAATTCACATAATATGAAACCTTTTTATATTGGATTCTTTAATTTAGCAGTAACATTGAAGATCCATCCTTATCATTTTGTGACTTGATAGGTCATTTATTTTTATTGTTGAATAATATTTCATTGTGTAGCTACATTGCATATTTCCCCTTTCACACTATTAAAGTGCATCTTGGTTACCTTCAGTTTTTCAGATTATAAGGAAAAATGTCATAAATATTTGCATGCAGTGAATGTTGCTTTCAAATCAGTTGTATAATTACCCAGGAGTAAGGTTGCGGTGGCTTCATTTGAAAAGCATGACACTGCAAACCACAAGGTCTGTGGTTGATACATGACAGATTCTCCAAGGGAGACAAATGAGGCTTTATGCTCTTGTAAAGATTTTAAAGAAGGCTAGGGATTCTCTGGGCAAATTACTGAATGATGCAGAATGCATCAGAAAAGACGGAAGGGATACACAGAGTCACTGCACTTAAAGGAAATGGTTAATGTTCAACCATTTCAAGAGGTACCATATGATCAAGAGCCAATGATACTCATGGAGGAAGTCCAAAGTGCTTTAAAGGAATTGGCAAAGAACAAGGCACCAGGAATTGATGGAATAAAAATTGAAATCTTTCAAGAAAGTGAGGCAGCACAGGAGGCACTCACTCATCTCTACCAAGAAATTTGGAAGACAGCTATCTGGCCGACTGATTGGAAGAGATTTATATTTGTGCCCATTCCAAAGAGAGGTGACCCAATGGAATGCGGAAATCCTCGGACAATCCCTTTGATATCTCAAGCGAGTAAAGTTTTGTTAAAGGTAATACAGAAATGGCTACAATCATACATTGACAGAGAACTTCCAGAGTTTCAAGCTGGATTCAGAAGAGGCTGTGGAACAAGATTGCTGATGTCCAATGGATCTTGGCTGAAAGCAGAGAATATCAGAAAGATGTTTACCTATGCTTTTATTGACTATGCAAAGGCTTTCATCTGTGTGGATCATGACAAGCTATGGACAACATTGAGAAGTATGGGTATTCCAGAACACTTAATTGTACTTCTGAGAAATTTGTACCTGGACCAAGAAGCAGTTGTTCGAACAGAACATGGGAACACTGTATGTTTTAAAATTGGGAAAGGTGGTATCTGTTCAGATGCTTATTTATTATCTATCAGCTTGATGAGGTGTCTGTTCATATGTTTTGCCCATTTCTTAAGTATTTTTTGTTGTTTTTTTCTTGGCTGGACAGCACTTGTTGAGTTTTAAGTACTCTTGTTTATTTTAGATATAAGTCCATTTTCAGTTCATTTTCAGACACTGTTTTTTGCACATATTTTCTCTCATTTTTTGGCTTATCTTTATTTGATTCACTTAACAATGTACATTGCAGAGCAGAAGTTTTTTGGTATAATAAAGCATGGCTTATTTAATTATTTTTTTCATGAATCATGATTTTTACATTGTATCTAAAACTGATTTTCCAACCCAAGGCCACCTAGATTTTCTCCTACTATTTTTCTCATTGGAGTTCTGATATGACACTACAAGATAAGTACTGGATTGTTACTGCAAGAATGACAGTTTAAACCCACCAAGTACTCATTGGAAACACTATATAGGGTCACTATAAGTTGAAACCTACTCAATGGCACTTAAAAGAAACACCAATTTTCTCTAACATTTGTTATTTTGCATTTTACATTGAGGTCTATGATACATTTTGAAACATTTTGTGATTTTGCATGTGTATGTATGTGGAGAAGGTGTACATATGTGACTAGATTATATTATTATTATTATTTATATGAACAGTCAACTGTTTCACCATTAGTTGAAAAGACTGTGCTTTTCCAATTGTATGTTCTTTCCATTTAGTAAAAAACAGTTTACAAAATCTGTATGTGTCTCTTTCAGGGCTCCCTCTTTTGTTATTTCAATTTATGCATCTATTTTTAAAATTTGATCTTGTTAAGTGTAGCTTTATTTGTTGTTTTTAAGTGATATCAAGTGGTTCTGACTCATAGTGACTCTGTGTAGGGTTTTGAGGCTGCAATTCTTTGCTAGAACAGTAAGCATTATATTTCTCTCACAGAATCTCTACTGTGTTCAAACAGCCAACCTTGTTGTTCACAGTCCAGTGCTTATCCTACAGAGCCACCATACTCCCTAGTGTAGGTTTATATTGGTGTTCAAATCAGGTAGTGTGAGTCTTATTCTAGAGGGGAAAAAGACTCCAAATTCAAATATATCATATGTTGCTATTGATGAGTACCATGGAGTTAGTTTTGACTTATAGTAACCCTGCACAAGGTTTCTAAGGCTGTAAAACTTTATGGGAGCAGAAAGCCTCATCTTTCTCCCGTGGAATGGCTGGTAGTTTCAGACTGCCAACCTTGAGGTTAACAGCCCGATTTGTAACCACTACTCCACCAGGGCTCCTTAATACATCATGTAGAGACCATAATTAAGTTCTAAGAAACACAAAGACAAAACAGATCATCCAGATAAGGAAGACGATCAACAAGAGGCCATAATTGTATCCATTAGGTGGATGATTTGTCTTTGTCTCATTTCTCCTGGCAAACATCATCTCCAGGTAAAAGTGGAAATGCCTTTGATAGTGTATTAAAGGATCCAAAAAAATAGTATGTAGATTTGTACGAAAGTAAAATTAGATTCTAGGATGTTGTTGTTGTTGTTAGGTGCCATCGAATCAGTACTGACACAGAGTGACCTTATGCACAGAAGAGCAAAACACTGCCCAATCTTGGGCCAACCTCACTACTTGAGTCCATCAATGTTGTCACTTGGCCAATCCATCTCATTGTGTATCTTTTTCTCTGACCCTCCACATTACCAAGCATGATATCCTTCTCCAGCAACTGTTCCCTCCTAACAATATGTCCAAAGTATGAGAGACAAAGTTTGGCCATCTTGGCTTCCAAGGAGCACTCTGGCTACACTTCTTCCAAAACAGATCTGTTGGTTCTTTTGGCAGCCCATGGCACTTTCAATATTTTCCTCCAACACCATAACTCAAGGACATAAATTATTCTGCAGTCTTCCTTATTCACTGTCCAGCTTTCGCATGCATATGAGGTGATTGAAAATACTATGGCTTGGGTCAGGCACATATTAGTTCTCTAGCGGACACTTTTGCTCTTCAACACTTTAAAAAGCTCTTGTGTGGCAGATTTGTCTAATGCAATATGTTGTTTGATTTCAATACTGCTGCTTCCATGAGTGTTGATAGTTGATCCAAGCAGAATGAAATCCTTGACAACTTCAATATTTTCTCCATTGGTAAGAATGTTGTTTATTGGTCCAGTGGTGAGGATTTTTGTTTTCTTTACATTGAGATACAATCCATACACAGTACAC